AAAACCATTCCGCATTCCCCCCATTTGTTGTGTAAATGCAGGCCGCATTTCCAAAGGGATTGGCATTTTCGATGGCAATGGCTTCTTCCCAGGAACTCACCGAGTAGACAGAAAGGACGGGACCAAAGACTTCCTCCTTCATGGTTTTGTCAGATGATTGCTTGTGTTTGATAATCGTTGGGCCGATCCAGTTTCCTTTGCAGCCCTCCTTCTTGTTCCAGGGCCTTCCATCCAAGATGATTTCAGCGCCACATTTTTCGGCGTCAGTAACGTAACCAATAATCTTTTTGTATGATGCTTCGTCAATGACTGGACCCATCTGACCAGGTTTGCTTCCTGGCTCAATTTTGGAGGCCAACTCGACGACCTTGGCCAAAAGTCCCTCCTGGACTTCACCACCCACCAAGAGCAAGACCGACGCAGCCATGCAACGTTGTCCGGCACATCCGGCAAAACTGACACAAATATCCGAGGCTGCGCTGGATGGTTCACAATCTTCCAAGCAATCAAATGGTTCTTGGCCCCTCCTAAGGACGTACACCGTTTGTGCAATTTGCGACATCGTGTGCTGACAATTTCTGCCACGGGACTGGATCCGACAAAGGTGACGGCTTTGACATCGGGATGATCAATCAATGCTTCGACCGATTCCTTGACTCCATTGACCAAGTTGAACACACCCGCGGGGAATCCAGCCTCTTGTGCCAATTCGGCGACGCGACGCAATGTCATGGGGACCTTTTCGGAAGGTTTGCAAATTACCGTGTTTCCCATTACCAATGCAATAGGCAGAGTCCACATGGGAACCATTACTATGCAACGGAATTAGTGAGTAAACAAATGATAAGGTCCCCACACAGCTTGCCCACATTTCAAACAAGCAAAAAACTCACGAGGAAAATTGAACGGCACAATGCTTGCCACAACCCCCAAGGGCAGACGCCTGTCTTCACAGGTTACTTGACTAGAAACCCTCAGAGTCTTTCCCTCGGCTAGCTGAGGCAAGGAACAAGCATATTCCACTGTCTCGTTCGCCTTGGCCACTAAAAAAGAAATATCAACAAAGATAGAATTCTGTCAGTCGTAGCCGGTTGGCAATATTTTTCACAAATCTTCCTTATCCACTCCTACCTTCCGCCATGGCTTCAGTAAAATTTTTGCCGTTCTCCAACACAATCATACGTGCCAAATCTTCGGCTTCTCGCTGGATAATGGAGTGGAATTTCATCATGATGGCCGCCCGTGCCTTGATGGTCATTTTCGACCAAGCAGGAAGAGCCTTCTTGGCTGCCTCGACGGCAATATCCACATCCTTGGCAGTCGAGATTCCACACTTGGCAATGACCTTGCCGGGGACAGCCGGGTCCACAACGTCCAAATAGTTGGCACCTGGAGCGACGAAACTGCCGCCAATGTAGTTATCAATAGTGATGACTCCGTTCGACATGGCTTTGCTCTTTTTGGTTCCTTTGCGTCTTTTTGGACAGATTATTATTTCGAATGCTTCTTTGACTGATTTGAGAATTCTGCTGTGTTTAGGATGTCTTTAGCAGGTACCAGGTACCTGATTGGAGAATTCTGTTACGTTTGAGGGTATCTTTCAGTTAGTTCTTTCCTCCTTGATGTGGATTGTTTGTCTGTCACGCAAACACGCAAACACGCAAACCATCATCACGGAAGAATGGAGATGCGAAAAGATTGGTGTGACGTTGCGTGAGCGTCCGAACCTCCGCAAGCTCTCAATACCGGATGATAATACTTCTCACATTCAAAGCCTTATCAGTCCAGCGAGGAGGGGATGACGGATAGTACTATTAACTATTAATACTACAGTAGTACTCTAGAGACTAATACCAGGTGCTCCGGTAGTAGCAAACGGAACCCAACGATACTCATCAGTGGTCGTACGCTACCTGGTAGACTACTCGTACACGATGTGAACCAAGGTTCAGGTTTCAGGCAAGAGAAAGACAAGCCCTGGCCACGGTGCCGATAGCTCAGGAACAGTCGAGATAAGGCGGCTGTGCGTTGTCACGAAACCCTTCCTGGTTCTACAGAGCCGCTAAATGATGGATTGTCCCCAACGGGGACGACATTGGGACCCCGAAGATTGCCATCAAGGCGATCCCTTCGCAAATCGCTTTCCGTGAACATCAACTACCAGTAGCTAGCTAGCTAGCTAGCTAGCTAGCTAGCTAGCTAGCTAGCTAGCTAGCTAGCAAGCTAGAGTATTCGTCGTATCCTTTTGTTGTGGTAAAGTTCATTCTAATATTACGAACATGTTATTTACACGATCACTGAGAGTAGTTGCTGGGATCGGGAGATTGTTTGTGAAAGCTTTAGCCATGGCTTTGGGAAGCTTTCCTCCGCTCATCCTCAGCAAATACTTGGGTTCTCTGGTGATCTCTATTCCATTCTTGCAGACCACAGGCATAGTGGCTTGTTTTGGAGTTCAAAGAAAGCAAGTTGCCGACCTTTTGATGTATGGCAATCAATGGATCACTCATTGAATACTCAACCAAGACAAATCAGACAACAGACCTGATTGTACAACTGAGTCCGCAACAGTGCTTCCGGCACTGCAGATTTCATCTGTGTAGGAACTCAACACAAAGACCGCTCGAGTGTTGACAAGGAGGCCAATTGTGTCAATCAAATGCATCCATTCATGGTATCCCCAAAAGGGATGATGTCCCCCCACTTGGCTAGCATAGAGGTAGAATCCCAATGCATACAGAAGAGTACAGCCCACGAGACAGTAGAAGAACTCACTGTCATCCACATGTAGTCCATAGAACCAAATGACGGATGCAAACGCAACACCACAGCTTGCAAATGCAACGGCACCAAGTCCAAAAAGGACACCAAAAAATGATAGCCCCACTGGGATTCCCACTGTCAGGAGTGAGAAAAGAAAGTCAGGCTTGCATGCCTCACTTTCTAGTAGCTGGGGAGCCATGAATGAAGCTACACAAATAGCCAAGCTGCAAGACTTGTCTACTCGGGTGATTGCTTCCTCCAAGGCCGCTGACTTCCAAGGAACCAAGTGCACCAAACTTGAAAATACAAACAAGCAGCTGATAGCAATCAATGCAGGTGCAGCAGGTGCTGGAATGTCATCCCAGTTCATGTAGACAAGTGGGAGAAAGATGAGAGTACAAACTCCATGCAACCATCCTCGGAAGAGTGGTCGTGGAGATCCATCAGCATATTCTGTGTGGAATGGCATGGTGTAGTAGTAGTTGTTGTTGGGTTGTTGTTGTTTGTTTTGAGGTTTTGATTTTGTGAGAAACTTGGGAGCTCGCGAGAGGGAGGAGAGAGAGCGACAGTCCCACTTTGATCTACGGCCGGCCCAAAGCCCAAAGTTACAGCCTGTCTGTGTGATAAGCTGCAAGGATTGTTCTTGCCTTGGGAAAGAGGGGTCCATTTTGGTAAGATTACAGGCATTCTATGAAGAATGTCTGCGAACCCTGCTCAGAACCAAGGTGCTACAGATCTAGAGTGGCGATACGCCACTGGAAGACTGCACGGTACCGGCACTACGGTACGTCCGGTACTACGGTAGTACCACATGTAAAACCATGTTTAAATGTAGTCTAGCTAGCACTCTAACTCATAGAGTACCTGTACCGCAGCTACTAGCTATTCGATAGTTATCAGTGCAGCTGTACGGTTGCAGTCATTACGTTGGAACGTTGGAACTGCCTGTCCAACAATAATTCTTCAAGGCTCACGATCAACTTTGTTTAGAGGGCGGTGTCGCATTGATTTTTAGGGGGTTATGTTCCTCTTACAAAGCAAACTGGGTTTGGCTGGCTCTACGGTTTCATCTCCTTTTCGAACGAATGCCTCCGTTTCGTACGAGTGCCGCCTTGGCTTTTCGTAAGAGTGCCTGCACTCAGCCTTGTAAATACTTCCTACGAGTGAACTCAGTCAAACCAATGTAAACATTCCCTCTTCGCAAGTCAGGCAATGTAAAAACAGCTCTTTCGGCTTGAAAGGTCGAATTTTTCCAACGCCAAATTCATCTAATTACCATGATCAAAAATTCAACATTTAACGAGGAAAGGTTGTGGCGTCTGTGTACTTAGAATGGCGCGCGGAGAGAGGAAACTTTGAAGCCGGCATCGTCACCTAACGGGTGCTCCAAAACTTGGCTCTCAAGACCGGTTCTTTTGCTCGTTCCTGACGACCGCAGCTCTTTCTATCAGCTAAATCTTTGGCGCTACCATAGCAACTATCCTGCCTAATAAGAAGACCAACGAATAAGAATAGAGTACCAAGTAGCTCTAGTGAGAGAGCTCGAGCGGCAGTGGCTGAGGAATGCCTTGTTTGGTTATCAGGAGGGTCCGCTAGCTAGTGTTGTTTGATTTCTGGTCGCCGTGACAGCGTGACAGTCGGTGCCATGAGGACTCAGGGATCAAAGGCAGGGAGCTCAGGACGACAAAGATCTAGTGGTAGTAAGCATTCCGATGGGGTGGCTTCCCGGAGTTCCAAGGCAAAGTCGTTCAAGGGTCGCTTCAGTTCGGTTGGCAGCATGCAGTCCGCCATGAACTTGAAGCGCAAGGAGGCCTTTGACGATGAAACGCACATGATGGAAGACACAACGGTAGACGGAAATGTGACATTTGTGACATCTACCACGGATTATCTGAGAGAGGCGGGAAGGGATGCCAAGAGCAGAAACCTAGATGCCTCGTTTGACTCGGAGGATACCCCTGCTTCCAAGGAACGAAAAGACCCGACGCCCACGATAGGAACCATGTCTCTCTTCTCTCAAAACTCGAGCCACGAAGGCAAAATTCACATGAGCTCGAGAGAACGAAAACGATTGAAAGAACGCGAATGGGAACGCGACCGACAGCGACGAACCACTGCAGAACCCCGGAAACCTCTCCAATTCTCGGGCAGGCTGAGAGGATACGACGCTTCTAATTTCCAATCCACCTCGTACGATTTCGATGAGGAATTCAATTCCATTTGTGAGTCAAACCAAGCGCCCCGTCAACCACAGAGCAGTCGTCAACTGTGGTCCGGGGTTGACGCACCTCCTGGGGGACGGGATGGGTATGACTCAGACTCGTACAGTATCAAACTCAACAAGGCTCGTTTACGGACGGCACGACCATCCAGACGAGACTACTACGAAGCAGAAGATTCACGGCCATCTAGACGAGATCACTACGAAGACGAAGATTTTCGGGAACGACAACCCACCACAATCAGTAATCTTCTGACAGATGGAGTTGCCAAAGGAGGAAGCGAAGAGGAGGAAGGTACGATGGAAGGAACAATGAACGAGTCCACTGCGGACTTTGGAGGAAAGGCAGACCAGAGCCAGGACGATTCCTTCTTGGTGGAATCTGCTACCAAGATTAAAATGACAAAAATGGAAAAGATAAAGCAGCTCCAGTCCAAGAATGAGCGGTACAAAGAAGAGTACAAGAAAACCTACCTGGAAAAGAAAGAATTCAAGAAAAAGTACGAGGACAAGAAGATGGAAGTGGCAAGCCTTACCATGGAGATTGAATCATACATGAAAGAGACAGCCTTGTTGAAGAAGCAGTTGTCACAGCTAACCAATGAGATTGATAATGCCGAGGGCAGCACTCGCAAGGATATGGCCATGGTGGCAAAGCTCCAAAAAGAACTCAAACAAACGAGGGCTGATCTTAAGGAAGCTCTGGGAAGGATAGCAGATCGCAAGATTCAATCTAGCGAACTGAAGGAGATCACGAAGCGCAAAGACGAACAAATTCAATCCCTGACGTTAGAAGTGTCTCAGCAAATCGAAGAAGTACAAAAATTGCAAGCTCAACTTTCAGTTCAAGATATGGGCTCCACTGCGAGCAGCCAAATTGCGCGGGATGGCACCGTTTCTCCAAACAACAACCAAATCATCACTGAGTTGAAGGAGGAAAACAAGAACATGAAGGACGAACTCTCCATGACACTGAATCGAGCAGCTGAAATGGTCAAGAATCGGGAATCGACAATTGAAATCTTGCGCAAGGAAAACCACGAGCTGAAGGAGCTCATGGACATTCGAGATCAGGACGATGACCGCACCACAACTTCGGAAAAGATCCAGCGCAGAGAGACGACCATCGAGCAGTTGCAGACTGAGATTGCTGGTCTCAAAGAAACACTGGAAGAGAGCGCCGAGGAAAAGGAACAGCTGAAGGATGTTATTCGCAGCCGTGAAGCCGAGCTCAAGAACGTGAAGCTTGACGTGGAAGGCTTGAAGAGGATGGTGAAGCGAGCCGAAAAAGACGCTCATCTCGCACGCACTGGTGTCGACAACCGGGATGGAAAAATGCTCGAACTGCACGACGACATTAGAAAGTTGCAAACTGAAGTGAAAGATTCGGACAGGCAGATTAAGGAACTAAATGGCGTGATTGGGGAAAGAGACATGGAGATCCGAGAATTGATGAACGAGATTGAAAATCTGAAGGTTAATCACAACGGATCATCCTTGGAACTGGGAAGATTCAAAACGATTCTTGACGAGAAGGAACAAGAAGTGAAGGACTTGTATAGGGAGACTGAAAACCTTAAAGCAGAAATGCTTCAACAGCGAAATCAAATGGACGATCGACGCAAGCGAGTCGTTCTCGAACTGGAAGAGTTGAAATTGCGCGAAAAGGATCTTCAAGAGGAAGTTCAAGATTCTGCCGCGATGGTGCAGCAGCGCGAAGAGGCTATTGAAGACTTGCTGAAAGAGGTGGAAAATTTGAAGAAGGGCAACGAAGACAAAGAGAGCCATCTCTCAGCAGAACTCAGCAAGCAAGAGCAAACTGTGAGGTCGATGATGAAGGACATGGATCGGCTCAAAAGATCACTGAGCCTGAAGGGACAGGAACTTGAACAATCTCAGGCAATGGTCAAGGAACGAGAGGTTGCAATTGAAGACTTGCTTACGGAAATTGAAGATCTGAAGCTGGAAGGAAAGGGCGTTGACAAGAAGATCGCTGAGCGAGCCGAAAAGATGCAACGTGACTTTGACGACCAGAACGAGGAAATCGAGAAGCTACGAACGGAGGTCGACGATACGACGACCAAACTGAACGAAGCTCAATATGATCTTCAAACCAAAGAGGAAGTTCTGCGAGAGCGCGAAGAATCCATCGAAGAGCTGCTTCAGGACATGAATGAGCTGAAGAAGCAGTTCGAAGAACAAATGCAACACAGAGAGGAAGAGGCCGAAGACGACCAAATCAGGGATGCGCTTCAGTGCGAACTTGAAACAGCTCGAGATCTCGTGAAAGAAAAGGAAGAGTCACTTCGTCGTGTGCTCCAGGAGAGCGAAAAGTTGAAGGAAAAATGGATAACAGTGAAGATTGAGAAGGAGGCGCTAGAGAAAGAAGTCAAAGAAGCCAGAGAAGCCAAAGAAGCCAAAGAGGCCGAAGAGAACAACAAGGACAACGATGACAACGATGACGAAAGCGAAGAAGGCGACACGAAGTCTTACTTGGTGGCACAACATGAAGTCCTGGAGGAGGAGATTCAACAGTTGAATGACCAAGTGGGCGAGCTTCAGGCATCGTTGGAAGACGTCCACCGACAAAACTCTATTTTGAACGAAGAGGTCGAGGATTGGGTCCAAAGAGGTGGCATCTTTGAATTGGAAATCGAAAGGCTGAGAAATGAAGTCGAGGCCTGGCAAGATAAAGCAGAACAGCTCGAATCAGCTGGCGGAATGCAGCCAGGAGGAGGCGACCAGGACAACGCTGAAGGAGGCGACCAACAGGCGATGATGTTGGAGAAAGCTCTGGCGGAACGACAACGGAAGAATGGAGGAGATGGCAAAGGAGTCTGGGGGCTTTTCTTCAACAAGAGTGAGGAAGACGAAGATCTCACAGAAGATCAGAAACGGATCAAAGAATTGGAAGGGATCAAGGATGCTCAAGCCGAAGAGCTCCAAAAGATCAAGAGTGACCTGGTCAAGCTCACCACTACGTCAAGAAACGAGTCGTATGTAGCCAAGAAGAGAATATCCGACTTGGAAGAGGAAAACGTGGGCTATAAGGCCAAGGTGGATCTGCTGTTGCGTCGCCTTGCCGAAGCTCAAGGTGTCCCGTGTGAGGTTGAACTTGGGGAAGAGAAGAAGGTGGATGATGCGAGCTCAATTTTCCCAAGGAACATTCTGTGACAAGAGGTTGTGCCTGTTGCAACGTGATTCGATTGTATCAATCCTGAACGGTTGACATACACATGGAACGCTATCAGGATGGCTTTTGTGATGTTATTTGCACAGCCTCACTCGACCATCGTGTGATGCTACCACATCTTCGAGCTCAGTCTGAAAACCACCCTTCAGCGTCTCTACCGCTAGAAGGACGCTCTGGTATTTCACTATCACGAGCTATATTTGTAGAAGGGAGCAAAAACCATGAGGAAGTTACTTCTAGCCGTTCGCGCCCTGCCTGCAGTCAGTCATCTGCCTGCTTGAACGAATCAGATAATGTACTATTAAAACCAAAAAGCAAACAATTAGCCTTGTGGTACGACCGTCAACTTTCGTGTTGCCGCAACTATAATGTATTTTTAAAAATGGCATTGCAAGAGCATCTCTTCTACTAGTATACTCGCTCCATTCTACAACAAAATCTTGTATTTTTCCTTGCTGGGGACATGATGCAACGCCAACCGTCCATCGTATGCCACCGTCATGTACATCCAGGCATCAGCCGCACTCCATGTAGCCGCGTAGATTGACTCACTGGCTTCATGCCGGGCCACTCGGACATTGGGAGCATCCGACGACTCCATGGTATCGTCTGGCATGGGATTGTTTTCCGCTTCCAAGGTCAGCAAGGGAGCACTGCTAATGGACGACACACGCCATAGATTGGCAATGGCGTCAGTCCCAGTGGACAGCAGCAGCTGGTCATGAAATGGATTGTAGGAAACTTGCCAGGCATAATGGGAATGTCCTCCTCGCGCCGTCATGATGGGACGTCGTGTATTGCGTGTATCCCAGAACTGAACGACTCCATCCAATCCACTGGTGGCCAATGTGAATGGTTTGTTGGGATTGTAATCGACGTCGGTCACACCGTAGCGATGCGCTCGGGTCATGTTCATGCCCTTGCCAAAATCATCGGCAATTCCAATGGCAGTTCGGAGATCGAGGAATTGGACGGCGCGTCCCCAACTGACGGCCAATTGGGAGCCATGATGCGGATCCCACACAACGCGGGGAATGCAGCCAACGGGGAGTGTTTTTGTATTATTGTCACCAGCGGAAATGGCGTGCATGGATTCGGCCATACCCATGGATAAATCCCACTGCTGCACGTTGCCAGCCGCATCCAATGTCAAGACATCCCCGGGTGTGCTGGAGGCGAGCATTCCGGGAGGATCATCTAGATCCATACTGTTGGCTCTCCACGTCATATCGAGCATTTGTGCGTCGGATTCGAGTGCCACTTTCGATTCCAATACTCCCGAGCTGGAACTGCCAGAGTCGTATGTGTGATGACTCGAATCTTGACGGTAGGAATCACTGTAACTGGTGGCATAGTCCGTGGCCGATGTTGTCGTCTCGGAATCCATCATCAAATCATTGGAGTTCTCCATGACGGAATTCGGCAACCTGTACAGAGTGACAGCGTTAGATCGCTCGGCCAATGTCAAGACCAATGTCCGATCATTGGGACTGGCCACCAAGCGCTCGATAGGACCCGTGGGATGATGCAACGAGGCATCCAGACCAACCACATTGACGTCGGAATGGTAGCGCACCACATGGATCCGATTGGCACTGTCGTCGGGAATGCAACATCCACCCAGCAGAAATCGAGACTCTAAGCGATCTGCTTTCACTGCCGTCACAGACTTGCAAGGAGCATTCAACGAGAGTTCCGCAGACTGGTTGGTGAACATGGTCAACCGATCCTACTACTAGTATCTTTGGGTTTGTTTTTAGTGGACTGTGGACTGTCGATGATCGCTTTCGAATGGCAATAATAATGCAATAAGAAGCTCGAACCCTAGTGTAGTTCGAGGAATTTCCAAATCAGAGAGCTTGGGATGAAGTTAGGGTACATCGCATCCCTGTCGTCAAGCTGGCTGATGCAGCCCATTCGGATACTGCTGTAGTGCATGTATTGTACCAGTAATGGCCATCAATGTCCCAGCCAAAGAGACAGCCGCTGGTGGAAAGAACGGAGGGCTTCTTGTAGAAGACTTTGGGTCTCCAAGAAGCAATCGAATCCATGGGAACCACAAAGCCACAAAGGAACAAATCTATCTGTAAGAAGAACTCCATGGATGTTAATTGAATCCTACTCAGGTAGGTTATCTTTAATTCTGAAACATTAGATAAGAGGGCATTGGTCGCTGCAGGTAAGACTCTCTCATAATCCAAGCTGGCATTGCTAGTTTCACTTGCTGGGGTTTGACTCACTCTTGTACTGCCTCTCCTGGATGCCTGGATCATCAGGAGCTCCGACGAATTGTGGGCGGTGGGCGAAGAATGGACCACGGCGGCATCAGGTCCCACGAGCAAGGTTCAGGAGGAGCGGGGTACACCACCAGCTACTATGATTGTACCGTAACGCTCATGCACCCACAAGCAACGTTCAAGAGAAGTGGGGGGCGCAAGTTATGATGGAAGCGGTTGTAACGCTTCGTATGCACGCCAAGGAACAGCTAGGGGTGTACACGTACTGTTGTGGTTTCCCATTGCAAAAAAAAAGTCGTAGTCATGTTGAACCATGTTCCAGCGGCGCGCCGAGCTCTGATCTGTGACTGACAGGCTCGGTTGCGGGCTCGTCTGCTGATACCGTCTAGCAAGAACAACATCGAACGTGACGACATCATATAGGAGCAAAGGAAGCGACCTCTACGTAGCTTTCTGGCAAGAGCACGAACTTGTCGCTCCTCCCGTCCTCTCATCAGGTGCTCTCCGAGTCGAGTCTCCGAGTCTTCTCGTAATAAAAGTTACTCAGTAGCTGGCTGGCTGGTTCTTTCAAATGAAGCACGCCACAAGCCACCGCAAAATAGCTGACAGTGAACTTACTTGAATTGGGCCAGTGGTTGCCTTTTTATGCCTGTGCCAAGAAGGAAGAGAACTAAAGAGAACGCACGAGCGAAATCATCCTTGCTTCCGGAACGCTACGGAGTCTACGGAATTTGAAGAAGAGATGTTAAGAGCACAGCGAGAATGAACCTCATTCGATTGATTCGATTCAGCAAACGCAGGTTTTGTTTCGGGTCGTTATGCATATGGTCTTCGGCTTGGCTACATGTAATATCGCTTAATAATTAGACTAATTGAACGAATGCTGGCATCACATGCATTACTCCAAAATAATGAAGTTTCGTGTGAGCATGTAGTCATGCATGGGAAGGCGCTACATGTAGCTGGGGAGCCCCTACTGGTCGCAGATACGACAGAATCGGAGCTCCTTTCTCTCTCGCAGGAATGAACTGTTTAAGTCTTTTAAGTTTGCGAATAAACCGGGCTCAGCGCTATTAATACTATTACAGTAGTGCAGTATTCAGTTTCTTCGTCCGTACCCGTTGCCTGCCTCCAAGCAACGTACGGTAGAACTGCTGGTGCTCTTGGACCCAGACAGTAATAACATCTTGTGGCTGTGCAATGTGCATTTGGCATGATGAATGCGGACAAGCACTCCAAAAATGGCAGGCATCGCCAAGACTCGTGTTGACCTACTTTGACACGAACCCAAGAAGATCGCGTACTAGTACATGTTCCGTCACCCAACCTACCGTATCCACCCCAACGACATTATTAGCTGCGTAGTCTCATAAAAGAAATCGAGACTCTTTTTAAAAACACACTACCCAACAACACACCATGCCATTCCACAAAGAATATGCTGATGGATCTCCAAGACCCCTCTGTCGAGGATGGTTGCATGGAATGGGTGCTCTGACCTCTGTCCCACTTGTCTACACACATTGGAATGACCTCCCAACACCCACTGTCCCTGCCCTTGTCGCTCTATGCTGCTTGTTTGTGTTTTCCAGTTTGATACACCTGGTTCCATGGAAGTCAGTGGCATTGGAGGAAATCATCACCCGAGTGGACAAGTCTTGCAGCCTGGCTCTTTGTGCAGCTTCATTCATGGCACCCCAACTGCTCGAGAGTGAGGCATGCAAGCCCGATTTTCTTTACTCCCTTTTAACAGTGGCATTCCCCGTGGGGGTGGCATTTGTTGGAATCCTTTGTGGCATTGGTCCAATTGCCTTCACAAGCTTTCTCTTTCCCTTTGCCTCCACCATTTGGTTCTACGGATTGCATGTAGATGACTCACAGTTCTTCTATGGTTCTGTGGGCTGCCTTGTTCTCTATGGACTGGGATTCTACCTTTATGCAAACCAAGCAGGTGGACATCATCCCTTTTGGGGATACCACGAATGGTTCCATTTGTTTGTCACCATGGGCTTTGCAGTGAACACCAGAGCAGTCTTTGCATTGAGTGACTACACTGATGAAATCTGCAGTGCTGGAAGCACAGTTGCAGACTCTGTGGGTCTGTTTGACGATCTGTTGTGGTTGGGCATTCAATGAGATGTTTGGTTACAGAAGAACAAAACCATTGCGCCTGGGAATAACTAGAATAGAATGGGGGCCACCAGAGAAACTGAATTGTTTGGACGAGGAGGAAAGCTTTCAAGCCACGGCTACTGACTTTCTCAACAAAAGATCTCCTCAGTCCAGCAACTCATCTTTCGACTGGTTGAATAAACGTAATTTGAGTTTTGAAATACTGGCTGACTCTAGTAGACAAACCGTACACGAAGATGAGGCCGCCATAGCAGCAGGCATCTTTCAGCTTATTTGGATGGAAAAGCGTGTCATAGCTAGGACAGGATATTGTTTCGTCCCTTCGGTTACGCTAGCACTAGGTCTCATTGGGAAATGGCGTCACACCGAGAGCGCACACCGCGTACGTTGCTTTCATGTTCCTTCTGATGAGTTGGCTGGATTTCTTACCATGGCTCATATTCAAATGAGGTTGAAAGCATTCCTTGGCTGGGCTGCACCGGTATGTACCAGTGCATTGTTGTTTTCGGTCTACGGGTGGCAATCCAAGTTCGGATGGTTAGAGTCCAGCCAGTAAAACGGAACCTCCGCCGATGGTTCGTAGGTTGGTTGGCTTGCAGTATTTTCACGGAGGTGGCCAACAGCGTTTCCTTTGCGACTGGCTGTTCAGATTCTTTGTTTCGATTCTACCCCCTCCAGCACGTTGTGCAACAGTCACAGGAAATCTGATGACGGGAGCAATCCGCAATAAGCACTTCTAAACTTCCAAGGGACAACAAGTCACATACTTCCCCCGGAACCGTGCCGGTCAACCTATTGTCAAGCAGGCGGAGTGTTTCTATGGGAAACATGAGAGGATGCGTAAGATCCGTGTCACTACAATACAAACGATGATAGCATTCTTGCTTACCCAGACTTTGCAGGCGGCCCAACGCAGACGGAACGGTGCCAGCGAATTTGTTCCCGTCCAAATGAAGGGTTGTCAACTTGGTAAGACTGCCTAAAGATGTCGGGAGGTCATGTTCTAATCCATTGTTGTACATGGATAGAAACTCTGCATAGAGAGCACCACCCAAGGAGCGACGGTGAGGTAGGATTAGATTGGTTTACCTGATGATCATACAGCAAACGATGAAGCCCTGTCTTACCGAGATTGCTCAGATTATCGATGTATTCAGGGATGTCTCCATTGAACCCGTTGTGGCTGATATCCACATAAGCTGATTGGTGAAGTGTAAGGAAAGGGTTAGATTTGTCGGCCTTGATGTCAGACTTGATAACAGATCTGATGACAGAGTGCACTTACAAAGATTCTTTAGTTCCATCATTGAATCCAAATGCCCTCCCATCTGATTGTGCTGTAGGTGCAATTCTTTGATCGGACTGAAACTCCACCTCGGCGCCAACTGAGCACTGACAAGATTCGGCAACCACCCCTGAATGGAGTTGTAGCTGAGGTCCAAGCTGGTTAGTTTTGGCAGAGCCACGCCTGAAAAGATTTCTCGAGGTAGTCTGCCAACTAAGAGGGACTTTGAGATTTTGAGAGCGGCTACCCTGTGTTCTTGACATTGAACTCCAAACCACTCGCACGTCGTGCCCTTGATCCAGGTTTCTTCGAATTTTTCGCGGTTCTCCTTTGATGCCTCACCTTTGTACTTTGGGTCGCTCCCCATTTCGAAGAATAGCACAGCTAATGCGTATCGTTCGAGGATCTGATGAAGAAGATTATCAATGTTCGGATCATATCTCACCGTAGTGTCAAACCCTGGAACTGCCAACTGAAGGTCGTCGTAGTCGCTTATCCACTCAAGTGCTTGGTAGGCCGCTGTGTCCGGATCGTCTAAATCGGCGGCTTCTGACACGTCAAGCACTGCCAGAATGTACCGAATGGCATCCTTTCGCGATCCATTCTGAGGCACCATTGCGATAGCATCAAGCAAGGGATTCGTTATCCGTGCCTTCTGGTTATCTTCTTTCCAAGTTTCCTCGGTGATTGTGGGCTCTGAATCAGAAATTGCATCCAACTTGCCATCTCCAGACTTCTCTCCGGCACCTCCGGTGGCAGCTTTCTTTGAAATTGAAGTGGTTGTGCCCTGTTTTGCCGCCATTGTCACATTGGAGTCACCAGGATCCTCGACACTTCCTGCTGTCAAGTTGTCTTCAATTTTAAAGTGGCTAGCGTCGCCACTGGATGATTCCTCTGGTATCTGTTTGGTGAGATTGGATTGTTCAACTACGAAAGCATCCGTGTCGTTTGCTGAAGCAACGTTTTGGGCATCGAGCTCAAATAGTCGTCCACCGTGCTTTGGCACAGTCACAAACGCAATGAATGTGGACACAACAACGAGAAAGAGACCTAGCATGACCAGCGACTGGCTTCGTCTATAGGCCACGTCCTTTCTGGACGCCCAAGCAGAAGAAGCAGTGGGATCATCAGAGTTCAGGTTGTTGCTCAGATCAATATCCATCAAAGGCTTGGCTTCTCTGGATGCGACAGGATTAGCAACCTGTCTCTTTGGGGAGCTTGGTTGGAGAAGCAGCGAAAAGGGTTGTTTGAGGGCCTGGGTGCGGGTCGATTTAGTATCACGGGGTTGATGCTCATAGCTTGTCATATTGACATCCATCAAGTTGACGCTTTGATCAACCTGAGTTCCACGTTCAGAATGCTGGTCCCAGAAGTTGTTCTCCTGTGGAGAGTTGATGCCTGTCAAGAAGCCAAACAGATCCGCGTTGATGGAACGGGAAGGTTGTGTTTTGGCAGGAGGACTGTCTTCTTGATCAAATGAAGTTTCCAAGAAACGACTGGCCAAGTCTCTGTGGCGATTGGCAGAGCTTCTCCTTGATGTATCCGTGATGCTGCCGTCATCATCGTCGGCATCATCATCATCTCCACCCACTTCGATCACGCGTGGCTCATATCGAAAGCGGCTACGAGTGCTGTGGCTGCCGGTGGAATCAGAGTCGAGACGTTGCTGCTGTGCTTCAATGTAGGACAATGACGAGAAGAAAGGTTCTTCCAGCTCATTGGAATCGTTCGAGTTTCCAGACTCTGGGCTCCCCGGGGAGCTGCGAGTGGCAATTCGACGGCCGGTTGCGTATTCTTCGTCCCCGCCATACATTATGATGAGGCTTAACCCGCTGATCTTGATCAATTTTCGGTTTTGTTAATTCGACGTTCGTCCTCGTCACAGTGTGACAAAACTGGTCACAATTCAAAGATGAAGCCAAGCCCAAGAATACCGGTACCAGGTACCCTTGCTCCTTGCTGCCAGCAACCACACAAACCTAAAACAAACTTTATGTGCCCTGGGTACGTCTCGCTTGTGAAACTTTTGTGAATGTTCACCAGATGCTTCTCTGGTCATTACTAGTAGTATCTATCTCATATCCTCCAAACAACAATCAAAGCAAACTATGAATTCCTCTGGCTTTCCCAAACAGTTACTGACGAAATCTGGCCAAAATGTGAGCAACTGTCTGGCGAAGTTTAAACGACAAAAGACATGGAATGAAGATGTTTGGGCCATCATGGAAGCATAGGATAAGAAAGATCTCTGACTAATTTGAAGGCTGGGGTTAGATGCTCATTGTTTACATGAAGGTTGGCGACCCCAATGTTTTGGCCCGTACTGTAAACTTGAAGCCTGTCAGGCATCAACAATTAAGCCAGCGGAGCTGTGAAACCTCGGCAGAAATGTTTCAGTGTAGAAGCAGATACCCCTGGATAGCTAGCTAGCTAGAAGCAGATACATGTAGTGCTTAGCTAGTGCTTAACTTGCGCTTAGCTAGCTAGAAGCAGATCCCCCCCCAGCTAGAAGCAGATTCCCATAGCAAGCTAGAAGCAGATACCCCTAGCTAGCTAGAATACTAGTTATAGCTTTCACTAGCTTTAGAGTTTTTCCTGGTAGGAGCAGATCCCCCTACTAGGATACTAGGATGCATGTAAATAGCTTTAGCTGGTTAAAAGCACCATCCTAGGATACCTATTTAGTTTTTGCTGACTTATTTGTAGTCTAACCCTACCCTTATACCTGCAGGGACCACCGTAGCAGGAAAAACAATTAAAGGGGTTGAGGGCTCTGGCAGCAAGACTGCCGAGGTGATGAGCTTTTGCTGGAATTGAACTGCCTATTGATGGTGGTGGGGCACTGCCAGGGTCTTTATAGGGGTGATTTCATCCCATTTTTTCAGCAGCAGGTCGTAAGCTAGCTGCAAGACAACAGAGGCAGCACCACAACTCGAAATGACCGTGGTACATGATATGGCCGAGGCCATTATTGTGGGAGATATCATGCCCGAAGATGATGTTCCCAAACATGAAAAACACATGTTGGAACTGAATGCTGAAAGACGAAGATGGTGATTTTGCAGTAATATTGCCCAATAACCCCAACGCATTATAAAATATACCGTACCAACTTTCATAAGCATTCGTTTTCCTGTTTTTCGAACTTCACCTTGCATGCCTTGTTTTGTTCAAGAACAAGCTTAAGGAGAGCAAGCGGAAAGTGATAGACCTCTGGAGACTCTGAACTGCGATCCAAGTCTTCGTCTGAAATGGTAATGAAGGCATCGTCGTTGACCCCAACGCGGTATTCCAAAAAGGGCTCTGATTCTATAATCTTGGAACGCTTGCCACGAAATTCGTAAACATTGAAGCCGCAAATAGGAATTTCCCGGTTTTTCTTGGTTGGCAAAGCCGTTCCTCTGGTTGGAACTGCATTGATGAGAAACCCGACATTGATCGTTCCAAGTGATTCCACGTGATCTGTCATTTGCTTCTTGAACTTGGCAATTTCGTCCGTCGACTTGTCTGTCCAACTAAACTCGATGATCACACGTGGATTCATTTCCGCCTCGAACCCCAACTCAACGACTTCCTTTGTTTTGGGTGCCGGATTGAGTGAGCCACTGCCGGTCTCAATCGTGCTGCTGCTGGCGGGTCTCACCACTCTCTCCTCTCCCCAAATCGCCAAATCTGGGTACTTTGCAGTTCCATCCGGAAAGTTCATTTCAAAGTTCTTCCGAACAAGCAACTGGCCACCACATCGTTGCAAGACAATTGTTTCGAGCTCACCCACTGCCATCTCGTGAAAAATAGTGGGCATCTCTGTACGATATGCCACTCCTTCCTCATTCAGTGCGATGTATTTGTAATCATCCAGTAATTCGTACTCTTCAAGGTCTTTCACGAGGTCGCTTTCCGAACCGTACTTCTTGTTCTTGATGGCGTCGGGGAAGCCATCTTGGTTGAGCTCTTCTGTTTCTCCTGATGTCACCGCAACCAAACGGATACTATCCGCACTCATGGGTCTTGTCGCTGTGGTTACAGTTGCCTCACTCGTTTGTGATTCCGGTGAACTCCCTTCTCCACCTTGCTCCTTGCTACCACGGTGAACTCCCTTCCTCCTTGCTACCGCCACAGTGGTGCTAGATGTATGCACATGGTACTTGTACGTACCGTACCCATCACACTACTACTATCGGTATGGTAGTCACACGATCGCGTATCACGATCCATGATGTACAAATATAAATGAATGCATACCGGTGCCGGTAGGCGTGCGGGTACCGTGCCTGGTAACCACCACCAGTCGGCACCAGCGTCACGATTGTCTCCCTCCGCAACCGCCACGCGGCTACCAACACTAACGGCGCAATAGCAATACCTGTAGATAGAATAGACTACCTTTCGAATGAAACTTCTTTTATGATATTTCTAAAGTTTTATGAACAAAACTGTTTAGGCTTGATCCGGAGAAAGAGTCGCTGGGATGGGGAGATTCTGTGTTCAGAAAGCTTGTAGCCGTGGACTGTGAAGCTTCCCTCCCTCATTCCTCAGCAATGTCTTTTTTCTCTGGAATTTCTATTCTATTCTTTCTGTACATAGCATCATGGTGGGCTCATTGAATGCCCAACCACAACAGATCATCAAACAGACCTGCCTGTGTTGCAGATTCAGCAACAATGCTTCCAGTACTGCAAATTTCGTCAGTGTAGGAACTTAATACAAAGACTCCACGCGTATTGACTGCAATTCCAAGGGTGACGATCAAATGCATCCATTCGTGGTAGCCCCAGAAAGACTTGTGCCCTCCCACTTGACCGGCATAGAGGGAAAGTCCCAATCCGTACAGTACAAGGCAGCCCACAGAGCAGTAGAAGAACTCAGAGTCATCCACTTGCAATCCATAGAACCAAAAGATGGAGGCAAAAGCAATGCCACAGCTTGCAAATACAACCGGGCCAAGACCACAAAGGACTCCAATGATGGACATGGTAACAGGAATTGCCACTGTTGCCAGTGAATAGGAGAAGTCGGGCTTGCATGCTTCACTCTCCAAAAGCTGAGGCGCCATGAAGGAAGTCACACAGACAGCCAAAATGCAAGATTTATCCACTCGAGTGAGTGCTTCCAAAAACTTTTCAGATTTCCAAGGAACCAAGTGAACCAGACTGGAAAACACAAACACACAGCAGATAGCAATCATCGCAGGGGTGGCAGGTGTGGGGATATCATTCCAATTCATGTAGACCAGTGGAATGAAGGTGAGAGCACCCATTCCGTGCAACCATCCTCGGAGGAGAGGCCTGGGAGATCCATCAGCATAGTTGTTGTGGAATGGCATGTTTGTGGTGAGGGTTGTTGTTTGTGTTGGTTTGTGGTGGAAATTCTTTCGATTTGTGAGACTAATACGTTTGGTTCCGTGTTGGCATTTGAGCGATGGTGGCGCTTGGGTAACAAGTAGACTATCATACTGCTAGTAGCTAGTACTCGAAAGCTAGAAAGGGTCTTGGGTCGACGTCTTGGCACAGACGCGGGATCTCTGAGCAGTTTTGGCAAGAGGCCAATCGGGAATTACATGCACGATGTAAAATTTTCGTGTGTGTTTGATTTTGATTATCATTCTCGGCCTCCCTCTGCAAATCAGAAAGTCAATAGAAGCTGAGTACCAAAGTTGTATTGAAGGAAAACAGGCCGTAAAAAGATCTGCATGCCCGAATACCAGGTTTGCAGCAACAGTACTCAGCAGTTTCTGTGATGCGATGATGAGCCTCTTCGCACAATGGTACCACTACGTCAGCCTAGCTAGATTCAGCTCTACTGGCTACTAGCAGCAAATCACAAGTCCAAAAGTGAAGTGGGAGTCCAAGCAGCTTTTTCGCTGCCTTCGCTCCATACTCCACAACAAGGTACCGGTACCAGGAAAGTCCCGCAAATGCTGAAATCGCTGAAAGGCTATGTAAAAGTGTTGAATTTTGTTTCAACAGTCAAGAGATTCATTAAATAGTTAGTCAACACTTTTTCAACACTTTTCAACACCTTTTCAACACTTTTTCAACACTGTTGAATACAGTTCAACACTGTTTTCAACACCTGTTGAATCTATTACTAGTAGTTTGCAGTAAAAGTGTTGAAAACATTGTACAAAAATTCAACAGTATTTTCAACAGTTGCTGAAAGAGATTCAACAGTTAATCAACACTTTTTCAGCACTTTTCAACACCTAATCAACACTTTTTCAACACTTATGATCATTATTCAACAGTTCAAGTTGTTTAATTAAGAGAGTTTCAAGGAAATTCAGCTTTTGCGGGACTTTCCAGGTACCACCGTGGCCTTCAAGGTTTCGTCCAGTTTGGGACCTCCGTGATTCAAAGACGAGCAAGTCATTGTCTCTATGCCATGCACAGTGCCTTAAAGGAGTGACTACCCATGCACCATACGTATGTACAGGAGAGAGAAAAGTTTCAGGTCCGAACAGCCCGCTAATCTTGTCGCGTCTAGCCGGAGGAGCCGGTAGCCGGACATGACATTGTTTGACAAATCAGTCTAACTTGGTTTTTATTGGCGGCGCTCTGTGATATGTTCAATCGAGGCAATGACTAGCTGGTGTCGCTCTTCACCAGTTCCCTGCTTCGAGGGATGACCATGACTTGCACGATATCGTAGCCATGAAGCCATGCAAGCCACACCCCGACACCCCGATGAAAGGTAGTCATTGCCACAGTGCCGACACTGCTTCAAGCTGGCTAGAAGAAGAATGCCAGTGGGGTGGCTCGTGGCCCTTCTGGGTGTGAGAGGTGACCTTGCTACTTGCTATGATTTCCTCTCTGTACAGCTTTGCAAGAAAAACTATTCTGCGTTCTCGGCTCGTGGTGCGTCGCAGGTGATGACCGTGACTTCAAGAAACCAACTCCAGGATGTGAATGTACCAGCAGACCCTACTCTAGCGAGCTTGCAGCCTTCTAAACAGGTTTGTGAAGACACATGCAACAAAGCTGCTGTAAATGGCCATTTGGGTGCCTCAACATCAAATATTATGCCGAGGAGAAGGTCTGTCCATGAGATGGATCGAATCGACATTTAGCAGTGCTGCCCAGGAGAAGGGCTGTCGATCGGAATGCATCCACATACTAGTCTAGCAAGGATGCCGCAGAAACCCTGCTGAGAATGGTAATCTAGATTCTTAAAATTAAGAGTACGGGCGCCCGGAAACACGCAGAATGGCTGGCTGTCCACGGGATCGGGTATCCCTCCGCCAAAGCAGGGCCAGTGAGTGGACGGGAAATGTCGACATGGAAAGACATTTCCATTTGAGGGTGATGAGTGTAACAGGCCGACAACGACAATGAGTTGTGTAGCGTTGTCTCAATGGTACTTCCGATGCGAGGGCTTGGGATCAAGAAATCGTTTCCCTGAGGACTTCCCCTCGAAGGTATTGGCAGCCTGCTCTGTGCGCTATCTTTCCTTCCGGTACTACCAGGTACACAAGCCACTCCATGAAATAGAATGAGGAATGCGTAAGTACAGTACCACTTTCTAGCTAGCTGCCGTTAGGCATGCATTCATTTGTCCGACGGTCACATACAATGATGAGAACAGGACTTCCCCCACGTAAGATTTGGCAGTTACTTGCATGCAAGCCTGGCAGAAAGCTACTCAGTAGCATGGTTTTTGTTGGCGGTATGCTGCTCATGAACATGGTCAAATTCCAGTTCCAGCATCCAGGCTACGAGAGGATCTTCCGACATGGGAATGACTCCAGTATCAGGTATCTCGACCGGAGACTGCTGATCCTCTCCATCTGCTCTTGTCGGCTGATGGCCTCTGATTTGTTCTTCCATGACTATTCGATGTCGACAATTGGCTGCCAATTGGGTATAGAATTTTAAATTGCGATGGGTTGGTTCTCTCAAAATGTCCCGTCGACTCGGAGGTGCGGCAGCATTGTGGTCGTCGTCCATGGAATCTGCTTCTTCGTTCAGCAGTAGCCACTGACGTTGATATTCCTGCAGCAAATTGTCACATAAATGATCTGAAATGAGCGATCTACCCGGTTGCATGGGTACTTGTAGCAATGCTTGCTCGGCCTGTTTGTGATTGGATCTTATAAAGGCGACTCCAGCACCCATTCCCAAGCTCATGCCCAAATCAAACGTAAGCTCCATGGCAGAAAACAGGAAGCGTCTTCGGGACTGAATGACTTGCTGTTTGTTCCATTGGTGTTGTGGTTGTTGAAAGGGAGATTGTGTGGGCGCCTTGGGAAATTTGTCCAATTGGTACGACGACTGCTTTCGTGCGGCTCGTCGTGCCACCATACGAGGCAAGCGATTCAGACCGAAAAAGGTCAACCCAAACGCCAGAGTGCCTTCGACAATCCCTGCACTCTGAAAGACGCTCCAGGCAAAATCTCGCTCTTGGTCCAACACTTGCCACACATCCAGCTGAAGTAGCGTATTGGAAAAGACAACCTGATCGAATTCTCGAATCATCTTGGCTTCCAGACCCAACCGTTGACGCAGTCGATTGGCCCGATCGGCAAATGTGCCACGCTTTTGAACCCTGTTCTTGTTCGTGCTAGGATGGCCATCATTGATGTTATTATCGTTGGACCCCATTACATGTGTTCTGTTCGCACGAGAGATTGTGGGTACGACGCTGTACCATGTGGACTTCAGCGGAAGTGTTGTCTTCGTCGAGGCCGACCTAAAGATCTAGCTAGGTGGGTTGTGGGTTTAGAGAAAGCCAGCCGAGTTGCGATCTTTGCGATCTTGGGAGAGGGTTAGATGAAGCCATCAAGAGTGAAGAGCAACGGACCTGTAGAGATCACAAGCGCAATAGACCACAGCCTTGGCCTCGGCCCTCACCTCCCATCATGCTTCTACGGTAGCGGTAGCTCGCTAGTGCCACAGTTCAGAAGTAATGTACAGAATGGCAAGGCCAAAGCGAAAGGCAGCCGTGGAGGCTCTCGAAAAAATCTCCTCGAAGGCTCCCAAAGATGCCAAGAAGACTCAGGCATCAACACCTTCTCTCAAAGACCAAAAATCCCTCCTAGCGGAAGTGCAACGCCTTGGCAGCGTGAAAAATGGGATGGTCCTTGTTCCACCAGTAAACAATAGTGAGGCACTCCAGTTGCTCCAAATAATCACTGATCTAATGAAGGAACCCGCCATTAAAAAAAGATTCTACGCTTGGAAGAAGGATGAATCGGCACGCCCCATTCAAGGGGGTCGCATTGAAGTTTTCTTAAAGAGCGCTGGTGAGAAGGGCTCCCAAGCAAGCCTTTGATTCAATTATGAAACTGCGACTTGAAACGGGAGATAAAGATAAAATTCTCGAGTATGCTCAGAATCAGGCACGACGAGACCCACGCTTGACAGACATGGAGTTTGGAAACTTTTCGCTCATCTGCACGTATGGCAAAGTTGAAGCACAAGCACCCCACATTGACTTGACACTACCAAACTATCAGTTTGGGTTGATCCTATCTGGCAATTCTCCTGGAACGCTTTTTTGTGACACGCCCAATACCTTCCACCGGGTGGAAGCTGTTGTGGATCACTGGCAAGATATGCCTCCTGCATTGATGGATGCCATGAGGAAAGACAAGGACGCCAAGGACTTGTTGCAAAAATTTGGAAGTCTCTTGGAACGAGGTAGCACTGTGCCTCAGCAAAGAGAGAAACTGGCCACGGGAAGTCTCCTTTCGTTGCCAGGAGGAGTGATCCATGCGGGACCTGCCTCTGACGGCTTTCGAGCCGTCCTATTCTTCTCTGGCTGGCCCAAGGGTAGTGAGGCAGCACCATATGATCCTGATTGTCAGTATACTAGTATCATGCTCATGGGACATTTGTTGAGCCTTGTGTGGAAAAGCGAGGGGGTTGGCTATGACGAGCGCCTTTACCTCCTTCGGAAACTGGCCCAGTTTGCCGAACCGTCCACACACATGCACGCACACTTCCGTTCCAAATTGCTAGCCGGAGTGGTCAAGAAGATGGAAAGCTGGCCCACAATCAACAAGACATGGAACATTATATCCAACAGGTTTCAAAGTGGGAATATATGGGTCCACGGGATCCCTTGTCAGAACCCTTGACTTTTCCCGAAAATGAGTACGCAACTCGGTCTGTTCCTGGCTTGTACACTACTTTTGAAGGGAGGGATTTGCGTGTGATTGTACTCCAACGCAAGGCGGATGGCAAAATCCTTCTCCGATATCCTTCTCCAGTAAAAGGTGGAGGCGACGACTGTGAAGGAAACAATCCCAGCGACAAATATGTACTCGAAATGAATGACGATGAACTTTTTGATGGTACCAATGGAAGGGTGTTGGATAATAAAAGGGATGAAGTCAAATGCTTCATGAGGCAAAAGGACGTATCTGGAGGACACACTTGAGTGAGGGTGTCAGTACCAAAGAAGAAGCAGGGGGAAGAACCAACGGATTGTCAATCTATGCCTGAGACCCGTCATCCTGGACTAGGGCCTAAGGGTTTCGTGACGTTGTGATCTGCCGGTAGGATAACGAGGTCCGCCCTCTCGTCTGGAGGTGACTTCGTCCGAAGGACTAGCGCTCGTACTTGGGGAAAAAAGTTGTTAGGCCACTTCAACTGAAAATTGTATGTTATGATAATCGTACAATGGTACAGTACAGGCAAGTCACGAGCCTGCCACCTATGTATGTAACTCTCTGAGGCACGGAAGGCTACCGCTATAGCACAAGCTGCAAAAATCAAGAAAGTACCTAGCTAGACTAGTCTAGCTCGAAAGTTTTGAACGATTGCATGGCCACGTCCCGAGAAGCTTTCATCCGAAGTCCAGTCACCCAGCGTACGGTACGTCAGCACCGTCTAAACATAGAGGACGGGAGGATCCACGCTTCTTCGTGCTTGCTGCTGTTCCGATGTCGTGCCATTATTTTGTTGACCCGCCGCTGTTTCTGCCACTGTAGCTTGCGGCTTCGTACTGTCGTCCGGCAAGGGCACACTAGCTCCTGTCGTCGTCGTGGTTGGCTTTGCCTTTTTCTTGGCGGCGGTCTTGGACGCAGCTCGTTTCTTCGCCGCAGGGGCGCCATCTCCGGTTGGATTCTTGGGTGGTCGCCCTCTCTTGCGTTTCATGCCGGGTTGTTGTTGTTGCTTGGCATTCCGTTGCTGCTGTGAGTTTACTTTCAACTTTGGTGGCGTGGCGTGAATCGCGTGGGCAATGGCGGCGACACGACATTCTTCGTCCGAAAGGTATTCTTCGTCGCCATCTTCAAATCGCACCTTGGCTTTGATTCGGTTGTCCCTGGCATCCTTTTGGTCCGTGTCAATGACTTCTCCCGTGCACCATCCCCCCAGGAAACGCTTTTTGCGGATCTTGGTTCCTTTGGGTGGTTTCATGCAAAAGTCTACCGTGAATAAGAGCTGCTGCGAATTGTGGCTGGGCTTGGCCTTTGGTTTCTGATTATTGTTGTTGTTGTTGTCGCCATTGTCATCATCATCATCCGTGTCACCCGTACGCAAGGATGCTCTGGTGCCACTAAACTTGATTCCTAGACACTTGAACAATTGAGCGCGATCGTCGCTGAGGTTTCCATTGGCGTGGCGTACACGTTGGGCATAGAACCATCTTCCCAACGAGGAATCGTTATGAAAATCGAGGTGCTGATTGGTTTGCACATGAGCGGACAGTCGTTGGAAATTTTCATTCCATGATTTCTCCTCCATGCTCCAGATGAACCCCAGTGCTTCCAAGAGCTCTCTTCGGTCATCGAGTAGTCGTTTCTGTGCGTATAGTTCCCTTTGTCGTGCCACCCATTTGGCCAAGGACCAATAAGGCGTTTGCTTTCCATGGGGTACATTGCAGTGGCCAAACTGTTAGAGCAAGAAAAGAAAAAGGCAACTTGTCAGCAATGTCATGTCATGGCATGTGCGATTTATTTGTCAACTGAGGGCCTTACCTGCTTTTGAAATGCTGCCAAGGAGTTGTACTGTTGAATCCAATGCAAGTCCTTTTTGGTGTAATCTTTGCGCTTTTGTTCGACGAGAACCCATCGAAACCCAATGGACTCCAGCTTTTGTTGTCGATCTTCGGACAAGACTCCATCTTTTTTGTTGCGTCGTTGTCTGGACACCCATCGATTCAAGACGGCATCCATTTTGGCCTTACTGTCCAGAGCAGGATTTCCACCATGGTTGCTGTAGGCGGCTGCATAGTGTTCGCGTAGCTGCATGGTGTACATTGTATATATATATGTGAGAGGAGGAAGAGAAAGCAGTAAGTGAGTGAGTGAGTGAGAGACAGAACTGTCATTTTGAGATATAAATGGAATAAGGTACTTACCCGATCAAAGTTATCATTCCAGTTTTTGTCTTCGAGTGCTTGCTTGGGATTGGTAAAGGAGAATCCCAAATACTCCAATCGAGCTCGCCGTTCCGGTTTCAGCGTCGATCGCATCTTGCGGAGTTTGGCACACCATCGCCCTAGCGTGGGATCGTCCGAATATCCCACTGGGACAAAGCAGTGGCCATTTTCCGCCTTGAATTTTACAAGCGCGGCAAAATTGGCTTCCCACGAACGATGCTTGCCCGATGTGTTGTCGTCGTTGTTGGTACTGTCATTGTCGTCGTCCTCGTCTTCCTCCTCTTCTTCTTCTTGTGGTTGGGGGGCACGAAACACATGTGGTGCGGCGGGGTTCAGAAAATGTTCACCATCGCCGCCGTGAAGATGCTGTTGCTGTTGCTGCTGTTGCTGCTGTTGTTGTTGTTGTTGTTGGAGTTGTTGCTGTTGTTGTTGGAGTTGCTGTAGCTGTTGTGGGTGCAACTGTAGTGGATGCTGGCCAGCAGCCGCTGCGATGGCTGGATTGGGGTGATGGTTGGCGTCGGCCATGGTTGAATAGGTTGCAGGAAATGTTTGTTTCTCTGATTGCTTGCTCGTCCTTTGCTTTCCTTTTGCATGGTTTGCTGCACTGCACTTTTTCGTTGGGCTGTTTTGCACGTTCATCCATTTTTCGTTTTTTAAATTTTGATGTTTCAAAAATAGTCAAAAAAGGTGACGAAACCGCCCGAAATCAGGATTTTTAGAACCCAATTAAATTGATCAATTCCAAACCTAAATATAAAATCGAAACCGAAATATAAAACTGAAACCTAAATATAAAACCGAAACTAAATTACTATGGTAAATAACTAGTAAAATCAACCCGAAACCTAAATATCGAATCGAAACCTAAATATAAAATCGAAACCCAAATATAAAATCGAAACCCAAATATGAAGCAGAATTACTTCTAAATCACCATTTCGGGCCCTTTCGACGACGATGCCTAAAAGCATTAACAAAAGAAGAATGTTTAATCTTCCCGATTGATTCAGCCCTGGAAGGCCCGGTCATACGACTGAAAATCGCCAAAATTGGCATAAAGTCGCACAGGAGCCCCAAAGTCGCATGAAACGTCGTTCATAAAGTCGCATGTGAGTCGCACCAAAGTCGCATGCGACTTTCTCACACGACTTTGAAAGTCGCGCAATTTTACTGTAAGTATGGCGATAAAGTCGCGTCGGATCGCTGAAAGTCGTTCTAAAAGTCGTGCAAAAGTCGCGTGCGACTCGCACGCGCCTTTGTGAACGACTTTCAGGGATCCGACGCGACTTTGACCATAGCAAGACGAATCCGGGACTAACAGTCGCATGACGAGGCCTTCCTGGAAGGTTGGAAGGGATTGAAGATTGATCATTCTCACAATCCTCAATCTTCTTTGATCTTTGATGATCGACGGGCATGTTGCGGAGTCTTGAAACTCCATGAAGCTGCAGCTGCATTGGTTACTGTAAATGTATCGCCTCAACTATCCAAAAGAAACTAAATTGGAATGTCCTGAACTCCTGCACTGAGTGGCTGGACCGATCATTTATTTCGAGGATAGAAAACGACAGTGCAAGCAAAATCTTCCTGGCAAACGTACCCCTCCCAAAGATGGATGAGGCCAGTCTACAGAATGATTTGGACGCCTTGGTGAGAGTCCGCAATCGACTGGTACATGCTCCAGATTCGGCGCTTCCCAAGATTCTCTCTGGATTGTTGCCGCGAATATTGGGACGATTGGAGAGCAACCATGCTGCCAGGCAACCCTCATGTCCTACGGAACGACCTTTATTGCTTTTGGACCATGCACAAGCACAGCTCACGGCAATCCTGTCCCATTCCATTGAACGAATACGGGCTGGACGACACACCATCCTGTCGGGAGCTCCATGGATCCTTCCATTGTTGCTACAAACGAATGACTTGCAAAGCCCCGTTGCCAACACATTTCGGCTGCTGATTCTCCAGCATTCCATCCCACTACACGCCAATTATCTGGAAGATGTACAATACAGCAGCAAAACTTTTATTCACAAAACTACTACAAGCCAACCAGAAGAATTGATATCGATATTACCAGATTTGACAAACATTGTGCACAAGTGTCACCAGCAGATTATTGTGAACAGTAGCAATAACAACCCTCCCAAGGAAAGTTTGCTGTTGCACTATCGAACCAGCAGTTGGATCTGTCTCGATGTGGTAGCACTCAGTTGGGGTCTCCCCGCCTTGATCGATTGGGGCCACGAGTACTTTGATGATGACTATGAATGGTCCACGCCCACTACGGCGCGAGAAGCCTTTTTGGAACATGGACCTTCCCGCCATGCACGACACAACATCAACCAATCTTCTCCAATACAAAACACGGGTGCCTTTCAACTATGGTTGGACCTATTCTTGTTTTGGCCAGCAGATGACAAGAGTGACAACAGCATGATGAGCCGACGTCGAAGGATCGTCCGTACCGAAGCAGAAATCATGGTGGAAAACTCCACTGGTATGACCCCGGAAGGGATCCGGCGGATGAATCATCGAAGGAAAGATGGTCAACCATGGAATGTACGCTACCTTCGAGAACTCAAATTGGCATGTATGGAATACATTGTGGTGGCTCCCATTCGAGAAGAAATGCTCCAAAACCAATCGTCATCATCGTCATTATTATCATTAGCCAACAATCTACCGTTTCTGCGGTGCGTGATTCTTTGTATTCTGACGGCATCCCCTGGTTCCATGCATGGGAAGATTGCCATGGATTTTGCAGAAAAGGTGGGGCAGATGATGATGGCAGGCAGCAACGACATGGCATCTTGCCAATCACAAGCTTCGGCACCTCGTGAAGCAGCCATGGGCTCTACTACATGTTCTGAAAATGACGGATCGTTGCTTCTCGCTTGTGCACTCATGACCTTGGTCCTTGGCTCGCAAAGTTCGTGTGCGGCACTGGCAAGGCACCGAGAAACCAAAGAGCAAATGGAAGCCATCATGGGCCCACTGTTGTGCCGAGGAGAAGCAGCAGACACGTCGACAATAAACGATGCTGCTCCCGAACTGCCTCTGGAGCGGGGCCCCGTCCCCTTCGACGTTGCTGAATATGTGATTGAATTCATTCTGAACAGGCTCTTGCCTCCGGCAGAGGTGCCATCACGCAGATGGATTGGCACTGCCGGGTATCATTCCCTGCTGCCAGCGTTTGTGGATCTTGTGGTAGCCCTTTCCAAGTCCAAGGGAGCGATTGGGTCTTATTTTGCCATTCAACTATTGGATAGACTCTATGGACATCATCTGCTTGAGGCTACTAGTAATGGCGATCAAAACGCATACGTCCATACCTTTTGCTACACCTGCATTGATGTGGCTGCCCAAGTCTTGTCTCAAATTGCAGAAGTGGATGCTGAAACCAGGCTTACTATGGGCGAAATTCAACACACACCAGAGCAAGCTTTGCTCCCCGGCGGAGTCCACCAGCCGTTTCCCGGGCGACGTGACTTGAACCTCATGTTGGTACGCCACCGAAACTCTCAAAAGAGGAAACAATTGAAAGCTGACTGTGCATTGGAAGCCCGCACAACGGCGTACGCAATGGTAGCACAATTGGCGCCGTTGGTTGGAGTACCAGAGCCGGATCCAATGGATTCTACAAAGCACAAGAAGCAGTCTCCCATGCTGGAGCTACCCATCATACTCCTCAAGTGCGCAGCATTCGAAGAGTACACTTGCATGCGTCCGCATGTGACAAAAGCTCTCGATTCAGTTTTGGCAGTCTACAGGAAATCCCTGGACACTGTGGACAGACCCAAACTTGAAACGCGAGTGGCATCGTTGCTGCCATCCCTTTTGTGTGCTGTTTGCTCGGATGCCAGCGCCGCACGCCTATCAGCCGTTCGGTGGGTTATCGACTTTGTACGGCCACTGGATCCGGGTGTTGCTTGGCACGTTTGCTCATTCCTGGCAGATGATGCAGACTCCTCCGTCAGTAGTGTAGCGAGTCAAGGCCTTCGATTCATAAACGCCAATCCACCTGTGAGCGATAGGCTGCCATCATATCCAATTCAATTGCTGTCGACAGAGAACGATGAGGATCGTGTGAGTATTCGAGGCGAGCTCGAATCGCTTGTTGCCAATACAGCAGCCTCCCTGGATACCCCGATCAATGTGACTCGTGTCTTGTTGAGCCACTTCAAGTTTGCTAGAACTGAACTGACAAAGGCCTGGAACGTGGATCGAGCCTCTGTGCTCAGCCGGTGCGGAGTACTGTATCGCGCAAATCAAGATGTACCGATGACAGATGAAGACAGCATGGTTATTACATCGTCTTGCAACAAAACATGTGGGATTTGCTACGATGTTTTCAGAGCCGAGGATGGTTACGATATGTGCTGTGGTCACCCGTTTTGCAAGCGTTGTTGGCAGGGATACCTCGCCTGTGCCCTGGATGATCGACCAGTCACAAGTACTGCTCCAGTTTTGGTTTCGTGCCCTGAGCAGGAGTGCGAGGAACGAGTGCTTTCAGAAGACGTCAAAGAGGTGGCACCCGAGCTCCTGTGTCGCTGGAACAATTGTGTGCTGCAATCATTCGTCGCAGGTAGCAAGAGCTTCTGCTTTTGCCCTGGCCCTGATTGTCCCGTGGTAGCGCAACTGATGGCTTCCGAGGACCAGGCCACTAACCTTCGGACGAATCCATCTGTCAATTGTGGTGCCTGTGCTACTTCCTTCTGTTTCTCCTGTGGAAGCGACCCACATCAACCAGCTCACTGCGCAGATTTCGCAGAGTGGAACCGAATCTTTGGATCATCCGAGTATTGGGTCAAGAAAAACGCCAAACCATGTCCCAATTGCAATGTCCCAATCGAAAAGAATAATGGCTGCAACCACATGAGATGCAGAATGTGTCGACATGATTTCTGTTGGCTTTGCCTGACAGCCCTTGGCTCTCACCTCGAACCTCACATATGCAACCGTTACGAGTCACACCAGTCTGCTGAAAACGATGATGAACGCCGCGCCTTGTTCTTCACGGATCGCTTTCAGGCACATGAGGACGCTGAGAAGTTTGCCAGCCGAGAGGCCAAGTGCTTTGACGAAAAACGAGAAAAGCTGGCTGCTGAGATTCTATGGTTTGCATCCGATGATGACCTTGACAACATGTACACTGCAGCGAGAACACTGGTTCGTGCCCGGAACTTTCTCAAGAACTCGTACGTGGCTGCATGGGCGATGCGCAAGGACTTGGAGCACCGCGATGTGTTTGAAAGTCATCAAGCCAATCTGGAGCTGTTCACTGAGAAGCTCAGCCAGTTATTGCTTACCAAGGTTCACCAGCTTTACATTGAACATGGTGCCGGAGCGATCCACATGCACTTTCGAGCCATGATATTCAGCACTGGATCGCTGTTGAAGTACATGGATAGAATGATTGAATTTATGAGTGCTACGTGACCAACCATGAGTACTGCAACACCGCCATCCTCATCAGACCAGTTTGCAAAAGTTGCAAGGCAATATTCTCGGTGTACCGGCCTTGTTGTATTGGGCTGGGTTCATCCTTTGCTCCCATCTCTGGCAATGTGACCTCGGCACTCGTGCTTGTAGAGTGCAGGCAGCTGCGCGGATACGGCATGCGTACCGCTAGACTTGACTGCTGAGGATACAATAAGCAAGTGCAGCGTTCCCTCCGCGGTAGGTTCCTTGCTTTGGAATTCGGGATGCCGGTACCGGTTGCCATTGATATCGAGGCAGGACACATCACCCGCTTCATGGCTGGTAATGCCGGAGTGCAAATGGCCATATCAGATCCCTGATCCTTTTGGGTTCCGCCAAGAAGAGCCCCTCTCGTTGTATCCCTGCATCCCTTGCCTGTGACCGGAGAACTCCTGTTGTGCCCGTTCAACAGTCTTGCTGCCACTGGGTGTTGTCCACTTGCTAGCTAGTTTTACATGTTTCTGATGGAATATGGGCCTACTGTAACTGCAAAATTAATTACTTGGCAAATACTCTGTTGCCTTCACCTTGTCTCGCCATTCGGTCGCTTCGTCATTCCGTAACAGAGGAGTCCCGGATGACTTCGTCACCGTGGAAGATTTCGATTTGATTCAATCGACTGCCGCGAAAGATACGGGAAGTCACCTTCGCATGCCCAACTCAACCAAAACAACGAGCTCCAATGAAGATTGGGTTCTGAACGATACTCTTGTTGTTGACCGGTATCACTGCTCACTAGGCTGTTAGTTGGCTTGTTGCGACGACGGCATCTCTATTCTGTCTCCCGTTCTGTGACATTTGAGTTATAAAATCGGCGATAATAACATCCAAGAAGAAACAACACCTCCACCATGACGGAAGAGAAACCCACCGAAACAGCACCGGCCAAGGAAGATGCCAAAGAAGAACCCAAACAGGAAGAAGCAGCCAAAGATACTCCGGCTGCAACCGAAGAATCCAAAGAAGAACCCCCCGTGCCAGAGAAGGAGCGTGACAATTTGGAAGATGCGGTTCGCGTCCGCGACGAAATGGTGATTGCCTTGGAGAAGGTCCGCCAGGAAAAGCAGCGCGAACTGGAACAGCTTCAAAAGGAATTTGAAGAAGAGCGTTTGATTCAAATGAAGGAGCAGCTAGTGCACAAGATTGAATCGGATCGTTTGAAAAAGCAGACCAAGGCCGTCACGGAGCGTCTCGAGACACTCGAGAAAGACATGCGCGACAAGCAGGCCATTCATGAATATGCCACCTTGATCAAGGGTGTGGCGCCTCAGGGAGGTGTCGACTCGCAGTATTTGATCAAACTCCAGAATCAATTGGCCAAGGCCGTCAAGAAAATGGAAGGCACCACGGCCAAAATGACGCAGATTGAAAATTCGTGTGATCAAGTGGTCAATTCACTGCGATCGGAAATTGCCGATATCGTCGAAGATCGTTGTCGCACCGAATTGGAACTCCGCAAACAATTGGAGGTGCTCAAGGAAAAAACCCGCGAGTTGCAGGCCGAATACGACGAACGAATCAAGGAGAATCAAAAGACGCTCGAGTCGCTCAAAACGAAGGCCGAAGCCGTGGTGCCGTTGGAAGAATTGGAGGCCGAGATGGACGAGACCTATTCTCGTTTGTATGAATTGAAGCGAATTCACGAAACTCAGGCGACCACGTTGGAGCAGTTGGATACCAATCTCAAGGCGCGACGACAACCGATTTAGACGGCACGGCGAGTTATTAAAAGTCATCAGTGAGATCGTTTTAATACGTGTCATGGCAACGCAAAGGATATATTACGGATGCAGACGCCATGCTATGATACCAGGATCAGAGGCGCTCACTGCTGTGGCGGAAATGGCGATCGTAGAGCCATGGTTTTTGTGATCGATGGGGAAGCAACCACCAATTTGCTTACAAATCAACTAGCAATTTACTTAGTTAGTTAGAATGTACATGTTTTCGTGCGGATCTTATTTCAAAAAGACTCACTCCATCTATAGAACGCTGTTTCTAGCTATTGATATACAGGGAAGACCCCGTGTGTCTATGACACCCCATGCCAGTCGCACTGCAAGTGAAGAAGTGGAAGGAGAGTCAGATACAGGAGAAAGGCAGGCGGAGGGCGGAGGAAAAGTTGGACACTGCTGATGATGAGGAAATTGACAATTAGGTAGATCACAGCTTTTTTATTAAACTTTAGGCATGCATGTCATCACATGGACTTCTTGCAAGCCACTTGACAAAAGCTGGCAAATTGACTTGGTTGTGCACACACTCTTTACAGCCATTGGCTCCGTTTGTAGATTTGAGGTGTGTTGTCTGTAGCCCAACCACCTGCCAGAGGAAACATCATCAGAAGGGCTAGCTAGAGAGTATCAACAGCTAGATAATTATCGAAGAAGGGAACTGAACTGCAGATGTATCTCTCCAGCAACTCGATACACCAGTCTTCAATGGTGGTTTCGTCGAGTTAACAAAAAAACGGAGAAGAATGTGGCTGGTAGTGGTTGACCAACATGATTGGAACACAGGTCCTTGATATATTAGTGTCCTTCATCAAGAAACCCAGGGCAGCCATTATCACGCAGCCACTGGATCACGTCGCTTTGGTCATACCTGCAGGCAGCATGATATGTCGCAAAACTCCACGGACAACGATTTTCACGAGCCCACTTTAAAATTTCCAAATGGCCACCTACAACAGCATGCCAGCATGTCATCTCATCCCAAGTACAACCATTTGCACGAGCCCACTTCAGAACTTCCAAATGTCCACCTGCAGCAGCTTCAGCGCATGTCTCTGCATTCCATGGACAACCATTTTCACGAACCCACTTCAAAAGTTCCAAATGTCCACCTGCAGCAGCTTTAGTGCATGTCTCTGCATTCCATGGACAACCATTTGCACAAGCCCACTTTAAAATCTCCAAATGTCCATTTTCAGCAGGTTTAGTACATGTCCACTTATCCCAAGGACAGCCATTCTCTCTTAACCATTGGAGCATTTCCAAATGTCCATTTTTAGCAGCATGCCAGCATGTCATCTCATCCCATGCGAATCGTTGTTGTTGTGCCCATTTCATGACAGTCAGATTTCCAACTGTGGCAATTGCATTACAAACATACCAATGGTCAGGTTCTTTGTTGCTGGAATTGTCCTTTAGCCAGTACTCTGCACTGCAAAGAGTGTCGGTGCTTTCTGCATGGCGGCGACTGGATGCATCCTGTCCAGGGTAATCTTCTACTGTTCTTGGATTTTCTTGAGCCCAATTTTGCAGTAGTCTTTGTGTAGTTTATTCATCTTCTTGTTGACAGCTGCTACAAAAGCATACTGTCCAACACCAACAAATGGGAGAATGCCATGGATCAAAAGATCTCCACCGTCAGCCCACAGAAGAGAATCAAAGGGAGGAGACATTTTCTGTTTCTTATTGTTGTTGACACTGCTATTGTTGGCAGCGGCACCAGTACCAGCACCAGCACTGGTACCAATATGAGTAGCAATGCTATAAGAAGACATGCTCAACAATCAGATTGGTTGTACGCTCCAGTGGCTGTTAGCTATGGTCGCCAATGCTCCTGTGGCAACCATCCAAGTGGCAAAGGGTTCGGAATTCGGAAACGTCGGAAGCAAAAACTAAAAGGAAGAAAGAAGCGTGACTCGTGTTAGCCCTAGCCCTACTTTCAGAAAATCTGGTTTAACGCTTACCAAAATTACTTAGAAGGCGAATGCAGCCACATTAGATTATTTAGGATTGACGGTTTGACGGCGCGCACGAAAATGACCTCCATTCCCTGACCAGTTCATTGCCATTCTCATCTCTCATCACAGTCGAACAGTCAAACCATCATCAGCTTCCCCATCCGAGCTCACGAAAAGCTGAGCTGTTGCTTCCGAACAGCAACACCATCCAAGGAAACGGCAACACAACATTGTATTGTCTTTCATCACCATGATGATGACTCCTCGAGCTGCCTCTGCTGAAATGTCGTCTGTTGCCAAGCCGGAAATGGCATTCACTCCGCAAAGAAAAGCTCTACAGCTGCATTCCTTACCCAACAGCAAGGCAGGCACTCCCAGTGGTATCAGTCACAAGGCCACCGATGAGACTCTGTCGACGACCAATTGCGATGATAGTTTGACGGCATCCGTCAACATGTCGGCCACACGGTTGTACGCTCCACCCGTGTTTGCAGTCAATGTGGACAAGAGGAATGTCCGGCAGCGACTGCGAGACCAGGAAGCCAAGATTGCCGCTTTGTTGCAAACGTCCAAGTCCAGTACATCACCCACAGCATCAGTTTCAGCAGGAACCGAAACGTCGTCTCCCCACGCAGGTGCCTCGGACGAAATTCTCTTAAAGCTGGTCCAAGCGCTGGAACAAGATCTCAAAAAGGTAGAAGGCGAAAAGAATGAATTGAAAGAACAACTTGCTCAAGTGGAAAAGCAAAAAGCCACCATTGACGAAGATGAGGACATTGATTCCATGAAAGACGTGGAAGTTGTAGCGTCCTTGAAAGAAGTAGAAGTCGTTGCTGCGCAAGACGATGACACGACAACTACTGCTGCTCTCAAAGACGAAATGGCACGGCTCAAACTGGAATTGCGTCGCAAGACACACGAATCCTTGCTGTTGCAGGATCGATGGGAGAACACCTTGCAGCGCATGGTACAATACCAGATTGATTTGGAAACGCACGATGTGCATTACACTGATTATGCCTCGCGACAATTCCAGTTGGGGAATGAAGCCCTCCAAGAAATCAAGGAGATGACCAAGAAAGATCAACCTCCGGAGACGAGACAACTGGGAAAACAGGCCAAACACATGATGTCGACATTGCTCAAAGATCTGGAAG